CGCCGCACTTTGATCCCTCCCGCGCCCCGCCGCCGCATTTCGGCCTCCTCCGGTGGCCTGTAGCTCCCGTTCCTCTTTCCCCACCACGGAGCCCCAGGGCCCCTGGGCTTGTCGAGATGTCTGAGGCGGCAGGAAATCTCAACAGCCTCCGCATGGCGAATGTGGCCCTGCGCGAAGAATTAAATGCCCTTCGCGGGGAGAATGCCAATTTGGGCCTCCAGCTCGGGAGAGCCCTGGCCGAGGTTAATTCCTTGCGGGGCAATGTCTCCAGCTACATCCGTTGGCCAGTACCCATAGTGCCTGTCCTTGCGGAGGAGAACTTGGAGTTCGCGCTCAGTGAGATCGAAGCCATTCCCGGGGGAGAACTGCCCTTCTTGTGCCGGCCTCCCCCACGCGCGGAGCCCGACTGTACCTCGGATGATCTTTTGATTAACGTGATCCAGGATCGCAGCACCCCCGACGGGCCCGCTGATCCCCCTCTGCTGCCCATCCCGCCCCCGCCGGCGCTGCCTCCGCCTGCGTCAAAGGAGCCGCCCCCGCAGCCCCCTCTGCCACCGCTGGAGTGGCCTGAGATAGAGCCCTTTTCAGGCGACCCAGTCTACCTGGCTGAATTCCTGATGCAGCTAGAGACCTTCATAGCTGACCATGAGGATCATTTTCCCGGGGGCGCCGAGCGGGTGGCCTTTCTGATCTCCTTTTTCACTGGCGAAGCCAAGGACTGGGCCATCTCGGTCACCCAGGAAGGAAGCCCCTTGCATGCCAACTTCCCGCGCTTCCTGGATGAAATCCGTAAGGAATTCTGTGGCCCCATCCCCCCACGTGTGGCTAAAAAGGCCATTCGCAAGCTCAAGCAGGGCCACTGTACCCTCGGCAGCTATGCAGATGCTTTTCAGTTCCTGGCCCAATTCTTGTCTTGGGATGACTGCCACCTCCAAAACCAGTTCCTCAAAGGCCTGTCGGAATTCTTCCGCAAAGAGCTCTTATGGTCAACAGAAATGGCCGACCTAGATGAGCTGATTCTCGAATGTGTGGAGATAGAAAGAAAAGTGCGCGTTCCCAAGCCTATCCCGCTCCCTGGGGTTCGAAATATCCTCTTCCCTTTTGCTCCCAATGAGGAAGAAAGTGAAGATGAAGAGTACTACAGTGAAGATGAAGACCAGGAGGCACGCAGGCACAGGCTTCACCCCAAAGACCAGAGGAATCGCGTGAGGGCTTTTCAGCAAGAGATGAAGGAGAAGGAGGAGGAGGACTTGAAGAAGGAGGAAGAAGTGAAGAAGGAAGAGGAGGAGAAGGAGGAGGAGGAAGAGGAAATGAAACAGAAAGAGGAGGAGGAGGAGATAAGGAACAAGAATGAGGAGGAAGGAGAGAGTAAGGATGAAGAAGATGAAGATGAGGATGGGGGCCAGAAACCAGAGCGGGAGCCACAGCAGGAGCCAGGGACTGAGGAGACCTATGGTGAGGTGGAGGAGGAGCCACTGGATGAGGCCCAAGATGATGATCTAGATGAGCTAATGGAGATGGAGCCGACCTTTGTTCACGCCTCATCCCAGACTTCTGGCCCCACAAATGGTTACCACGCGGAAAACTTCCTGGGTGCATCGCCTCCCATAATACAGCCTAGCAGACGGAGGAACCAGAATCGAGTCCCACTTCTGGAAGGCCTTCCAGGCACCAATTCACCATTCTACAGCTCCCCCCCACTGATTCGCCGCACAGGTCGCTTAGGGCAACGCCAAGTTCGAAGACGCCCCCCCGTGCTTTTCCGCCTCACTCCGAGACAGGGGGGCCACCGAGCTGCTCGTGGCCGAATTCGAGTGTGAGTGCTGGGGCCAGATGGCCACCCAGAACACACCCTTCTTTTGCATCCCCCACCCCTGCTATTGCTGCCATACCTGCCCCATTTGCTGACCAGGACTTCAGGGAGTTTCAGACCTGCAGAACCTGAAGAAGACCTGCAGAATTCCAGACCGTCTTGCAGCCATGACCAGAGAGTAACATGTGCTCAACCAGGGCCACCTGGGAAAGGAGGGATCAGCAATAGCTGCCCTCTTGGCATGTACTCTGCTCAGTCCTGCCACGACCTGGAGAGCAAGTTTCTGGGCCTGTTCCCATAAATGAACTGGTCACCCTCTTGTATTTCCCCTCTGGTTGTTCCTAACCCACACCTCGCCTGCGTTTCTTCACCCTGTGTTCTACAGTTTTATTCTCTGACTGACCCACCAGGACTTCACCCAATGCCTCACTGATCTGCCCCAATGAGCAAGAGGACAGGCTACCCTGAACTCCTAAAGCCAATGAGGCCAGTTGCTAGATACAAGCAGGATGGTGAGCAGGATGGTATCCAGAAATGTCCCTGGAAGCCTACACTCGTTTCATGCCACACCTCCAGCAGAGGGCCTGGAAGAGGACCCGACATCTAGCCCAGTGAGAGTGTGCAAAGCCACATGTCAAATGGACAACTTGACCGACATTTGCCCTTGACTGACTGTGCAGGCTGGTTCCACTTACAGCACTTGAGTCTACCTTTGCATAGATTCCTGTATCAGGGCTCTTGGACTGACTTGCCACATCTGGAGCCCTTTCCTCTCACCACGTTGCCCTCCTGGGCACCCCTGGTGGACAGCACCCAACATTGCAGGCTCCACCACTTTCCTTGATATTGCCTAAAGGGTAGCCAGTTAGGGTTTGGGGGAGGAGAAGGAGGAGGAAGAGGAGGAGTAGAAAGAAGCAGCAACGATCATTCTGCCATTGTAAAGAGTGACTCTTTCCTTAGGGATGGTGGTCTTCTCCCCTTGCCAGACCTTGGACTGCAGCCTCCAGTCAAAGGTCTTTGCAGGACACTTTCTATCCTTGGAGTTGCAGAGGAGGACTGATTGGCCATTCCTTCCGGGACAGACAGAAAGAGGGCCCATGGCCTGCTCTGAGCTCCCTTCAATTTCAAGGAACCCTTAGTTCTGAGAGGAGAGAGGAAGGCTGCACCCACCGTGGCCTCACAGCTGGGACCCCTTCATGTCTCTGACATGGGGGCCAACCCCTGGCCTGCTGCTGTGCTTCAGTGACACAGTAAAGCTTAAGAGGGTGGCTGCCTCCTAGGAACTCCTGGGACTTCTGGGTACAAACTCAGGTGCCCTTATAAAGAGACCTGCTGCTTGCCTTGAGTCAGAAAGCACTGCTTCTGCAGTGAAAAACACACACTATGTCAGTTCTGGCCACAAAATGCCAGCCAAATCCACTGCTGGCCTGAACTGCCCCTGGACACTGGACTTATTGCACAGTGACTGGCAGCAGAGCAAGTGCAGCCAGGGTTTGTGGCCAAAGGAAAGAAAGCATAGTAAATTCAACCTCTGTTCCTCATGGGAGTCTGACCGATAACCTCAGGCTGACCTTAGGATCTTGGGCCTGGAGGCAAGAGGAAAGAGCTGGAGGAAGAGGAGTCGCAAAGAAACCCAGTCCTCTGACTGGTTTCTGGTGAGGTCTCTATTCATCAGTGGGAGGTAAGATGCCCTTTTCATTAGCGCTTTTGGTTCTCAGCCTGGGGATCAGTGGATTTGGGTTCCTATAACCTGTTGCTACCTTTTTAAAAGGTCCCCTCTCTCCAAAGAGAAAAGTAATACATAATCATTAAAGAAAGTCTGGAAAATAGAGAAAACTATAAGGACAACTCCCCCCTCCCCCAGACATTAAGAGTCCCACCACACAGAGGCAAGCACTATTAACACTTTGCTGCCTTCCTTTCTAGTGTGTTCTTGCTATGTCTTGTCAAACCTGAGCTCATCCTGCCAGGTCTTGATCAGCAGGATTTAAAATGGCTGCCACCTGTGCAGTCATGCATACTGAATATTCATGTAAACATTCTCCTAATTTGTTGGACCTTTCAATCGTCTGGTTTTCCCCATCCCCACCAGGGCAGGAGTAAACAACTTTGTAAAGAAAATTTTGTCTGTTTTTCAGCTGATTTTGTCTGATTTCCTCAAGAACGTATTCCAGGAGGAGACCTGCTATTCTTCGAGGGGACCTGCTATTCTTCAAGGTGGTGGATCCTGTTTGCTGATGGTCGACACTCTGGCCCTACTACCTCATGTCCCTGTGAGGAGTGTGAAGGACGGGTGCCTTAAACCCACACTTCCAGGGGCCCTTCAGCACAGGTCCTGCCTGTTCCCATGGTGCTTCTCACCCCGAACCCTCAGAGCCACAGCCAGGGACAGAGCAGATGAGCAGTGAGCTGGTTTCCACCCTCTGGGGGCAGGAGGGGCTTGGGCTTCCCTTGGACCCTCTTCCTTCCTTTCCCAGATCTTTAATATTTGTTGTGATGTAACAGCCATAAGAGCTGTAAGAGGAACTGTGGGCTTTGGGAGCTTTCTTGGGTTGAAAGAGGGGTGGGGGGAGGGGAAGCATGCAGGGGTATGAAGGCAGCCCAAGGTCTCCCAGAGGCTCGGGAGGAAACTTGTTTGGAATACATGTGTTATTGTTGCATTACTGTGTTGTGAAGATAAGCTGCTCTGTATGCTAAAGCTTTCTCTCCTCAATAAAAATATAAAGGGTGTGTAAAGATTGTGTCTCTTTGTTATTGAGCAAGCATAGATGGGTACAGAGTAGGCATCGGGTGCTTCCAAGGTCCCCTGCCGGAGTCAACCTACCCTGAAGTCTTGAAATCCTTGGACAAGGAAACCAAGGGCCGGTGTGGCTCAAGGGACCTGCCTACAGTTCTGTGCATTTGTGGATGGCAGAAATTGCTGGGAGGGAAGTGGAAGCACTGGGCATCTTGAAAAGTAGCATTCGTTCTCCCAGGGACTATGGGTGGCCCAGCCCTACAGGCATGCACAGGCACGCATGGGACTTTGAGTGAAGGAAGAGAAAGAGACCAGGTGGGATGGGGAGGGCCCTTCCGCTTTTTGGCACTAGGTGGCGCTATGGGATACCAGTGAGTTAGCTGGTGAAGATGAATCACAAGTCCCCAGAGCAGTCCACGTAAGAGGCCCTCCAAGCAAGATCTCATGGCTCCTCACAGACTGTGGGGTCACAAGAAACTGAATCCCATTCTGGGATTTGCCCAAGTTTCCCAGCATGAGTTGGACTTTTTTTTTTTTTTTTCCCAGGGGAAGTGGGTGGTAACATTCATTAAGCCTCTGCTACTTTTGAGTGCTATGCCAGGCACTTCACATCTGTTACCTTATTTCATTCTGATAATGATCCTGCGGGAAAGAACTAACTACCCTTACCCTCATCTTAAAGATGAGGATGCTGAGGCTTAGAGAGAAGTCACTGGCCCAAGGTTGACAGCTAGCGAGTGGCTCTGTCACAGCCCTGCAGCTGCCCATTAGCTCTGAGGACACTTAGCACCTCTCTGCCCCTACTCCGCTGGCCCTGTAGTCTAACATGGCCAGGCTGGTCTCCTAGTTCTGCCCTGTCCTACCCACCCCGCCCCCCCCGCCGCCAGCTTGCAGGATTCCAGTGGGGGAAACAAACCCCACTTCAGAGGCACATTTGCTTTGTCCCTTTAACAGGAAGGGAGGGAGGGAGGACACCATAGTGTTTCTGACCATGTGCCAGGCACTTTCACCAACATCATTTCATTTTCTCTCCACAATTCAGTGAGGCAGGTGACGCTGTCTCTAATTTTAGAGCGGAGGGACCTGAGTCTCAGAGATATTAGATCATATGGGGGACTCCAGGTCTTCGTGACTCCCAAACCCATATACACTCTTAACTCAAATACACCGTGCTTGCTGTCTCCCAGCAGAGACTCCTGACAAACTTAAAGTCTCAGCCTGTCTGGATTCTGGGTCTTTGCCAAAGCAACGAAGCATGCATCAGGTGCACTATCTCTGGAAGCTCTGGGGGAACCAGCCAGGTGGCAGTTCTGAGTATGTGGTTGACTGCCCCTTCTAGGGAGGGACAGGGTTATGGGGTCGTGGGCTTCATCAGTGAGCACTGGGACTACCCATTACTCTTCAGGGGGCCTGACAAGGTCTCCAGCACCCAGGGGATTTCTCATGACATCACAAGTAGTGTTAGGTGAGCCCAGATTGTGTTATGGCCAGAGAAGGTGGAAAAAAGTCAGACAGAGTCAGCCTTGCCCTAACCCTAAAGCTGGAAGCACTGTGGGAATGGGGAAAAGAACCCTGGATTCCAGTCCAGCCTTGCTGCTGACTCTATATGGGCTCTGGCATGAGTCTCATCCCCTCTCAGGCCATGGCTTCTTGATCTATCTAGTCACTGTTGAGTCCTTGGGGCCCAGCACACTACTTGGTACACAGCAGGATCTCAATCCTAGTTTGGTACGTAAATGAAGAAGTGAGTGAATAAATGGGCCACTGGATGGAGACCTAGAGGCAGCCTGCTAAGGGCATCTGCAGGTGGTACGAAGCTTGGAGGACTAGAAGATCTCCTCTAAAAGGGAATGAGGGGCCGAAAAACTCTCCCTAACCTGGAAAGATGTACTGAAATAACCTTTACCAGGGGCTCATCTGAGATCCTGCAGTCAGGTTCAGAAAAGCAACTGCAGAAGCCTGAGTTGGGGAAGATGTGGCTTAGAAGAAGCTTGTGAAAATGAAAATCTGAGGATGTGAATTGACAGGAGATTGGTCAGAATCACAGACTGATCTAGCTGTCAGATGCGCCAATGCTTTCCTGGGCTGCTGCAAAAGCAGTGTGGAATCCTCGAGATGGGCAGGGCCCACCTAGGGCCCTGGCTGCCCTGTGGAAGGGGACAAAGCCACACCTCACAGAAGCCCTTTGGCTTGCCAGGAGTAAGAAAACATCAGAATAAAAGGAAGGAAGGAAGGAAGGAAGGAAGGGAGGGAGGGAGGGAGGGAGGGAGGGAAAGGGGGCAGTAGAGGGGTGACAAGGATGGCGAGGGTCCTAAAAACTCTCCCCTGGGCTGACCAATGGAGGAAGGCAAGGAAAATCTTGCTGCCTGTGAAACAGCTGTAACTTCCCCACATTCATTCTGCAAGTGAGGAAACCAGTCAGGCAAGTGGCTTGAGGTCCCTTGCCCCGTTTGCCGAGTTTGACTGTGAACCTCAGCAGTTTGACATCCAGAGCCCGTACTCTTAACCTCTACTCCCCACCTGTACCCACGCCGTTGGAAACAGAATCTCCAGGAATTTCTACATCTAGAAAGCTCCCTAGGCAATTCTAACATCCAACACAGCCCAGCCTAGAGCAGCACAGAGCCTTGGGAACTAACTAGCCCAGGTGACATTTAATGGCCAATTTGGTTCT